ATTATTATTAATAATAATAGTAATAGGACTCTAGGATTCAGACACATTGTTTTTAAGTGTATTTAAATATACAGCTTTCTAAAAATATAAGTGAATGATAAAAAAAGATCCAGTCAGGACTATCTAAAATCGTCAAGGCATTAATCATGATGAGGATATGTTGCTTGCAAAGAACATAATTTTGAGAGCAATTGAAACATGATTAAAGTGTAATAATATTGCTCTAATGTATTATTGAGAAATTCTGTATCTTTTTTGAACCTTTAAATAAGTCAGGAAAAAAGAGTAGAGAGTTATTTCTAGAAGTCCAACTAGTATGTATGTGTGTGTGTGTGTGTACAGAAAAATTGTGCACACTTGGGTGAAAAAAGATTTTTAAAAAGAAAGCATGGCCAACTCTCAACAGTTCCTCCAGTGTGCTGCTTGCACACTTTGAAGTGGATGTCAATGACTGTTAAAACAGAGATTCTGAAAGGCAACCTCCATGAAGAAAAAAAACTTTAAAAGGAAAAAAGCTTCAATGAGCCAAACTTTGGCTTGTGAACATGGGGAGAATAGGAAGACAAGTCACTCCTATCACTGTGTGCCCTGGGATACTGATTGCAGAAATGCAGAAAGCAAGAGAAGAATAACCCACAGTGAGCCTGATTGTCTGTCAGGTGTACCATGGGTGGTTCTTGAAGCAACCAGACCACTGTGGCTTACTGCCAGGATGTCTTAGCATGATCTGCAAATATACCCAATATTCACCACTGATTAAAGAGAAGCTAGGACAATATATAAGTTCTTTAACAACTTCAAACAGGGACAAGGAATAGTTAGAACACTAGAATTTAACAGAGCACCAAAAATATAATGATAAAATAATGAGACATAGAAGTTACAAAAATAGTTGTGCGACTGAATTGTATTTCTATTAGTGCTTATCAAGATTATCCTTGTAGCTAAAGTTTCAAACCCATTTCAAACCTAAAGTTTCAAACCCAAACCCAAACTGAGGTACCACAGTGGTACCTCAGTTCATGAACTTAATCCGTTCCATGACTCTGTTTGCTACCTGAATTGGTTGTGAACCAAGTCAAATTTCCCCATAAGGTTCAATTTTAAAAAAGGTTAATCGGTTCTGTAAATAATTTTTTAATCACAAAAATTTGAAACAAAGTATCAAAGAACAACAAAGTAACACAGTGCAGTAGAGAACACTAGCCTAGGTGGTGGGAAGGTTATTGTTTGGAGGAAGAGCCCAAACCATAATCATGTGATCGTGATTGTGCTGGCAGGGCGGGGGGGAGATGGCCACAATTGCGGTTGCACTCATGCAGGGAAGATAGGCGTGATCGTGCTTGAGGGGGAGATAGCTGAGATTGCAGGCACGCTTGTGCAGGGCAATGATTACGATTGCAGCCATCCCCCCCACCCCCCCGAGTGCGATTGCAGTTGCACTCATGCAGGGAAGATGGGCACAATTGCGGATGTGCTCAGGGGGGAGATGGCTGCAATCACGGGCGCGCTCAGGGGGGAGATGGGCGCAATCATGGGTGCGCTCATGCAGGGAAATGATTGCAATTGTGGGCATCTCCCCACCCCCAAGCACGATCGCAATCATCACCCAATGCAGAGTTTGTGACATGAGTCAATTTTTTTTCTGACATTTCTGTTCATGACCTGATATGGTTGTGAACTGAGGCATTCGTGAGCCGAGGTACACTGTACAGCTATAAAGGATAATGCTTATCAGGATTATAACACTGACCAATATTGAAGATGTAATGCTATACCATATTTAAAATGTATCCTGAAAGAGAGGAGAAGAAAAGACATGAACACTCTGGCACACTCCTAGACACCCAACAGCAGTTAAGAAATAGGAATATTGATGCTGCACTGGACCTTAAACTTCATAAAGTTTTCAGCTTTTCCAAATGTGTTTTATTAACTTGCAGGGCCTAGATGGAATAATTAGGTGAAAAAATGGTGTTTCCTCAGATGGGAGGGGCGCCTTCTATTGTATATGGGCAGTAAAATGATATGGTGAGCTATTCAGGTTCAGATACATCCTTTATTCATTGCACCTTGTTTTAAACCATAAACCATCTATTTATCTCTTGAATTGGTACCTCTCTTATTTGATATGGTGTAGCATTTAATAAATGAAAGAAACTCAACATTCTAATCTCTTCTGCCAGGGGCACTTGGGAAAGGCCTCTGGAAACATCATAGACTCAGGTATGTCTCTTAAGATTAGAAGCATAAAAACAGAAAGCAGAGTGAGTCAAAAGGGGCCTCCCGGGCCATCTAGTCTGACTAGAGCTCCACCTAGATCTGCTCATGACATGCCTACCATGTTCATGTCCAGCCTATCCTTAAACACCCTCACCGATGGGGCTTCAGCCACCTTCAGGGGAAGCCCATTCCGTACCCTAGGGGTCCTAACCTTCAGCTTTGATACCATAAACAATGCACAGTCTTGCTGGTCTGATAGATAATATTACCAGTGAAAATATTTATTCTTATATAAGAATATTTCCAATTATATTTCTAGTGTTTGAAGATCCAAACTTCATAGGAAACTGCTACAACTGGTTTGCAGAAAATGTGGCCAAAGGAGAATGGGATGAAAATATGTAGGTATTTTATGAAAAATCACAATGTATACATCTAGGAATCAAAGTTCAACAATCATGATACATGCAATTCTGAAGTGAAAGGCATCAATAATAGATACCAATATATGCCTTTAATGTTAAAGTTATAAAATTAACTCTTACAACAATAAGAGTTTGTGAGCCGCCCTGAGGCTTCGGCGAATGGGGCGGCATAGAAATTTTCTAAACAAACAAACAAACAAACAAACAATAATTCCTTGTAGCAAGGTCAACAGCTGGACTGAATACAATTTTCATGGGATCCAAACATTGTCTTTTGTGAGCCTTGCTTCTTGTGATGGTTTTATAGCTTTTACAAAGAATAGCAGTTATTGACTGCAGGAGGCAGAGTCCTCAAAAACCATGCTTCACCAAAACTGGAAGTAAAACCTTTCAGACATTCTTTTTATGGCCATGCTGGATGAGAAGAGGTGTGTAAGCCCAAGGCTGGCTGATGCTCATTGCTGCGTGTGCATGTCATACTAGACCATGGTTTAGTATACAAACACAACCAATGCAAATACAATCACAACCATGCAAACACAACCAATGCTCATTGAGATGAGACAGTGGATAGACAGATATATATGTAAGTTGGTTGCTTCATCACCAATATTAGGCAGTGAGCCTACCAAGCTAATCATTCTTTTACCCTGCCTTTTTCAGCCTTACAGTGGTTATAGCAAAATATACAGGTGGCAGAGTTATTTTCTCAGTCTGTCCCTCACCAAGCCTTCACTGTTATTTGAAATTGACTTTGGTGACAAAGGAGACTGTGTCTGTGAATCCTTATATGTTATGTTGGTCATGAAGTCATGCCCAATCCATCATGACTCCATGGACATCATTCCTCCAGGCTCTCCTGTCCTCCACCATCCCCTGGAGTTTCCCTAAGCTCACACCAACTGCTTCAGTAATTCCATCTAGCCACCTCATCGTCTGCTGTCCCCTTCTTCTTTTGCTGTCAATTGTTCCCAGCATTAGGGTCTTCTCTAGTGAGTCCTTCCTTCTCATTGGGTGGCCAAAGTATTTGAGTTTCATCTTCTGTATCTGGCCTTCTAAAGAGCAGTCAGGGTTGATCTCCTCTAGGACTGACTGGTTTGATCTCTTTGCAGTCCAAGGGACCTGCAGCAGTCTTCTCCAGACCACAATTCAAAGGCCTCAATTCTTTGGCCTTCAGCCTTCCTTATGGTCCAACTCCCACAGCCATACATTGCAACTGGGAAAACCATAGCCTTGACTATACCCACTTTTGTTGGCAGCGTGATGTCTCTACCTTTTAGCATTTAGTATTTGCCATAGCTTGGGGATAGACTTGGACTATTGTGATGTTGAATGGTTTACTTTGGATTTAAACTGAGATCATTCTGTCATTTTGCAAATTATATTTCAATATTGCTTTTCCTACTCTTTTATTGATTATGAAGGCTACTCCATTTCTTCTGAGGGATTCTTGCCTGCAGTAGTATACCTGATGGGCATATGAATTAATCCACCCATTCCTGTCCATTTTAGATCGCTTATTCCGAAAATGTTGATGTTCACTCTTGTCATCTCATGTCTGACCATGTCCAGCTTACCTTGATTCATAGATCTTACATTCCAGGTTCCTATGCAGTATTGCTCTTACAGCATCAGACTTTCGCTTTCACCACCAGATACATCTGCAACTGAGTGTCTTTTTGGCTTTGACCCAGTCACTTCATTCTGTCTGGCACTACTAGTACTAGCCCTCTGCTCTTCCTCAGTAGCACAATGGACACATTCCAACCTGAGGGTATCATCTTCCGGAATCATATCCCTTTGCCTTTTGGTACTGTCCATGGGTTTTTTATGGCAAGGATACTGGAGTGGGTTGCCATTTCCTTCTCCAGTGGATCATGTTTTGTCAGAGCTCTCTGCTATGACCTGACCGTCTTGGCTTACCCTGCATGGCATAGCTCATAGCTTCATTGCACTATACAAGCCCCTTCACCACGGCAAGGCAGTGATCCATGAATGGGGTGCATCCGTATAACTCTTACTATATATTTTACTTGTTTTCAAATATATTGAAACATCATAGAATCACAGGATAGTAGAGTTGGATGGGGCCATGAAGGCCATTGGATCCAACCCCCTGCTCTTGCAGAACACCAATTTACTCCAACCCACTCTGATGGCTGTCCAAATTCTCGACATCTCATAATTATGTCATATATCTTTATAAATATCGGCTGGAAAATCACTTTATCTCATAGTTTTGTCACAAGCTCATAAAAACCTTATAAAGATCTAATTTGGGGTTCAAATGAAAGGAAAGAAAACCATGCACTAAATGAGTTTATTTTTTCTTTCTGAACAAACTCTTATAGGGTTAATTTTTCTTTGACATAACTTCCCTGTTTTATTTCTCTTAACAGAAGTTCTTTGTGTTCTGCATTTGATAATTGCTTCATTATGCAGAATCACAGCATCCTACGTGACCTGAGAAAACATTCCAAAAACTGGAAATGTCCTTTTTGACCTATCTGTCCATTTAAAAAAAATTTAAACATATTTTTTAGTATAGCATGAACAGTCTGGCCTTGTCTGAGAAAGCAACTTTTGCTGTGAATTAGAGCAGATTTTTCATGTTAATGTCATAGGGGCACGAAAGGAAATTGCAATGGTTTCCTCCTTTCTTCTTGGTTGAACTCATGAGAACAACACCACCTTGCAGTGCCACCTGGTGGCACAAGGTGTTATTTTTACCTGTTGCTTGGTTTGTATGGCAAACGAGAGATTTCCCCAGCAATTGTGTGTCAGGTTAAGCATTGCTGCTAAAATGGTTGTTTGCAGTTCCAACAACCCTTTCATACAGCAAGCAGGAAAAGATGACATGTTTTGGGTAGTTCTGTAGGTGAGAGGGATGGTTGAAAGTAGGCTATTGTATATGAATGGTTCAACAAGATTTTAAAACACAAATAGCATCTCTCAGTTGATCCTACTCAAAAATGCCATTTGTGGTCCAAATCAGGCAGCAAAATTGCATGGGCCACAATTAGTTGTGTGACTACTTCATCATGAGCATAGATTGTCTATCAGGTATTTTCAACAAGAGGTGAAATGTCACTATTCAGCACTAGCTTGCAAGAAAGTTGTAAGATGTAACATTCAAATATTTATAATTTCAGTATAATGAATGCATTGATTTTATAAGCATTATGCATCTGTATATTGTTTACTGACTATAGAATGTGTAATAGAAAATAAGAATTTTGAAAAAGAACAAAAACAATATTGCAGATTGATGCAAAGAAATGGTAATGTGACAACTTTACAGATGTAGCACTGGATTTGCACGGAAAGTGAATGTAAAGTGACAGATAATGCATGCTTTAACATTCAGAGTTTCATTTTTAAGATGTAACTTTGGATAAGAAAGCAAGAATAGCTTGACAGCCATAATTTCAGCTACACACTAAATACAATTATATCACGGTTTTATTATGTAAACTGTCCAGAGTGCCAAAGGGCTATTGCAAAGGTATATAGAAGTGTTAAATAAATAAATCGCAATGATTAAAGCTAAATTGATAAAATTGTTTAAAATAGTTTGCAAGGTTGTTTTTTTTATGCAGCCTTTGTTCTTTTAAATGGAGATGGGAACAGTCAACCACATCAAACTTCCTCTGTACAAGCTTGAACCATGAAAAGAACTGACTGTCTGGAAACTTTAACCACATTGTGAGTTGAGCATTGCAACAGTGGACTTTCCATAATTGGTGGGGAGAGGTTTATACTGGGTCCTTTCAGTTCAGCAAATAGCTGGAGCTTTTAAATGACTGCCACTCAGTGTAGTTGGAGCTGCCATGAGAGGTGCTTTGAGTTCATAGAAACACAGAATAGTGGTGTTGGAAGGGGCCTATAAGGCCATTGAGTTCAACTCCTGTTTAGCACAAGAGTCCGAGTTAAAACATTTTTGACAGATTGCTGTCCAATGTTTCTTGAATGCCTACAGTATGGGAGAGCTCATGACCTCCCTAGATAATTGGCTCCATTGTCATACCCCCCATACAATTTTTATTTATTTTTATTTATTTTCTGATTTATACCCTGCCTTTTTCCTACAAAGGGCTCAAGGCAGCTTACATCTCCTCCTCCATCTTATCCCCACAACAACAACCCTGTGAGGTAGGTTGGGCTGAGAGTCTGTGACTGGCCCAAAGTCACCCAGTTGGCTCCATGGCTGAGCGGGAACTAGAACCCAGATCGTCTGATGTCCTTATGTTTTCTCACTCTGGTGCTTCATAAAGTATTTAAAGAACAAAAACTACAGTGCTTATTACATGAATTAGTCTATTTGTAAGCTTCTGATTCCTACAGAGCTCTTCTGAACTCTGCCTGAAAACATGTTTTAAGATAAAAAGGTTTCAAGAAGTCACTACCTATTACTTGTATCATAAAAAAACTACAGGATTGTGGGGCAGGGGATTCTGTTATTTGCTGGATCCAGTAGATAGCATTATACACCTTTATGCTACATACGTCAAATTGCGTCAGTTATTTACTTCAGTCACTAAGTGATCCTAAACATTTGTTCTTTCCTGATGTATCTGCTGCAATGTCTGGGTAATATCACTAACCACCACCATTTTGTTGTGTGTTTGGACATTCTGCAAGTGCAGTTGATGTCTCCTGACACTAGAGTTTTGGCAGGTTTAGCAGAACCTATGATAGCCCATCAGATTTCCTGTAAGGAGGCATCTCAAATTTAAAACAAAAATCTTTGGTCCTGCCTTTTAATCATTGTATGAGGATGAAATCCTGGGACAGAGTCTATACAGAGATGGGTTGGTTCATTTTTCATAGGCTCTACTTTAAGTGCTGTGGGGCAAAGTAAGCTAGCTGCAGTTTGGGATACTATGGGAAAGGGAAGGGGTAAAACTCATTTTCTGTCTGGACATTGCAGTCTCCAGCATTTGGGGTAGAGGTTTGGTTTTGTCCTTAGTATGTTT